GTAGAGTGCAGACACTTGGTATGTATTAAGCAGGGCCATACAGTTCCTGTCTCATAGTTTGGCTTGCTTCACTTAGCATTAATTCTTCCATATCTGTCCACTTTGTATCAAATGGCAGGGTCTCATTTTTTCCTTTTTTTTGAGAGAGAGTTTTGCCATAGGGCATGTGCGCTTGCTGGAGAGACAGAGACAGACAGACAGAAAGCAAGAAATCGTTCCTTAGGGGAAATGGCCATGCTGCTTTCCCTTTTCCTCCATTCTCCTCTCAGGATCTTGGGCATATATGCACATGCAACCCACATGAGTTTGAAACCACTGTTAAGGACTTGAACCGCAGTCACCTACGTGAGAGTTCAGTGCGGTAGCCTGCTATCTGCTTGTCCCGAGTCTCATTGTTTTTTATGACTGAGTAGTATTCTATAGAGTACATGTACCACATCTTTAAAAGCCATTTGTCTTTTTTTACATTTGGGATGATTTCATCTCCAAGCAATTGTGAATAATGCTTCAGTGAACACGGATGTGCACGTTTTTCCAACAGAGGGTTTCCCTATCCTTCCTACCTACAGAAGAGTGGAATTACCAGTTGTATGGTAGTTCTATTTGTAGGTTTCTATGGAACCTCTGTATTCTCCACAATGGCTGCACTAATTTACATTCCCATGACAGTGGAGGGGGGTTCCCTTTTCACCACAGCCTTCTTAGTACTTACCATACTTAATTCTTTTACTCTTAGCCATTCTGACTGAGGTTAAGTGGTATCCCATTGTGGTTTTGATTTGCATTTCCTTACAATGAGACATATTGAGCATGTTTTCATATGCTTTTTGGCTGTTCATATGTCTACCTTGGAGAGTTGTTTGCTCAGCTCATTTGCCCATCTTTTGATTGGATTGATTTTTCTTTTGGGGTAAGCTGCTTCAATTCCCTATTATTCCAGTTATTAGTCCCCTTATCTGAGGCATACTGTGCAAATATATTCTCCCACTCTGAGGGTTGTCTCCTCACTGTAATTATTGCTTCTTTTGTTGTACAGAAGCTTTTTAGCCTAATGTAGCCCCATTTGTCTATTATTGAGTTGATTTTTGTTAATGTTGGGAGACAGGAGTCCAGTTCATGTTCCTGCAGGCGGATATCCCATTTTTTCCAGCACCATTGACTGAAGAGATCTTATTTTTTCCAGTGGGTTGTCTTGTGCCCTTTGTCAAAAATCCATTGGCTGGAGTTTATTTTGGCGTTGCCAGTTTTGTTCCATTGTTCTACTTGCCTGTTTTTGTGCCAATATCATGCTGTTTTGCTTATCACAGCTTTATAGTATACATTGAGGCCATCAGATGTCCTCCTCCTATATTGATTATCGTAGCTTTATAGTATACATTGAGGCCATCAGATGTCCTCCTCCTATATTGATTATCACAGCTTTATAGTATACATTGAGGCCATCAGATGTCCTTCTCCTATATTGATTATCGTAGCTTTATAGTATACATTGAAGCTATCAGATGTCCTCCTCCTATATTGATTATCACAGCTTTATAGTATACATTGAGGCCATCAGATGTCCTTCTCCTATATTGATTATCACAGCTTTATAGTATACATTGAGGCCATCAGATGTCCTTCTCCTATATTGATTATCGTAGCTTTATAGTATACATTGAGGCCATCAGATGTCCTTCTCCTATATTGATTATCACAGCTTTATAGTATACATTGAGGCCATCAGATGTCCTTCTCCTATATTGATTATCACAGCTTTATAGTATACATTGAAGCTATCAGATGTCCTCCTCCTATATTGATTATCACAGCTTTATAGTATACATTGAAGCTATCAGATGTCCTCCTCCTTTATTGATTATCACAGCTTTATAGTATACATTGAGGCCATCAGATGTCCGTTGTAGTACTTGTCTCTGTCGATCTCAGGAAAGCATGGCTTTAAAATTCTTCTGTATTTCTTTACTGAACACTTTCTCGTTAGGAAATGCGTGCAATATAGCATAAATTCACTTAGCTGTGCTTTAAACCTTTGTGTTTTTATTTATATGTCAGTGGAGATCAAGAATAATGAGTTACTACCTCTTTTAAAGACTTTCAAACAACAAACACTATTTCATTCATGAAAACCTCAGATTGGCATAGCTGTTAGGTTCTGGCTCAGGGTCTCTTACAAGGCTACAACCCAAATATTGGCTGGGACTCCCATCATCTGAAGGCTTGAGCTGGGGCTGGAGGGTCTGCTCCTAAGATGTCTCTTGCCACCTTAACGAGAACCCATCACGCATTTAAAATATTGTTAAATCGCATTGGTATGAACACTTTCTTGCTGCGTGCAGTTTTGAGTTCAGTTTCCAATTTAAGAGGCATTTTATGGTTGTGTTTTATTTCTTGAAGCTGTTAAAATAAAGTGACACGACGTGAGATAATACAGGCGTTGATGTCCAAGTAGTAGGACTCAAAAACCTGAAGATAAGATTTCACTGTGTTGGCTATGTTTTTAATAATCAGCATAGTTCACAAAGTTTAGTCATTGCTTTTATACCGCAAGGGGCACCTGCAGTCTAAATAGGTTTGCCGCATTATTTTTGCCACACAATGTCTTTTCTGTCTGTAGGATGCCTGGGCTAACCATGTCAATAAAGTATTCTTCATCTTCTCCTTAGCATCTGGTGTCATGGGTGTACATCTGTCGGATGGGCCGTGTGCATACACAGTTCAGGTTAAAGCTTATCGAGTGGCTACGTGAGTGTTGTGGGAACAGCAGTAGTCTGCAGTCCGAGTTGGTGAGGCCATGTAGGAAGATCTTAGAGCTTATAGAATGATGGATGTTGAGATAAATGGTACAGGAAGTACAGTCCACCAAATGCTGAACCGGCAAGAATGTCAGGCATTTGGTTTGTCCCTCATTTGTTATTGACTACTTGCCAGATTGTTCTATGTTCAGTCTTCTGTGAGAGTATTTTGAGCTCTCCTTTCTTTCCTCTTTTGCACTTCTGAAATGCATCTATGGGCATTTCTTTCCCAGCACAAAAAGATGTTTATCTTTATACAAAATGAGAGTAAAACCAAAACAATCCATGTCATTTGGCAAAAATTGAATTTAAAAGTGGCATTATTAAGTTAGAGCTTCTGCATTAAAATAATTTAAAATAGAAAACATATTCCAAAGAGCTTAGTATCTTGTGTACAAGGCTTAGGATACTAACCTTGCTAAAAGTGCATGTGAGATATTTTGAAGTGAAGAATTATCTAATTACACGTGGTTATATTTTCATGTAATTGGTAAGTTATCTTTATTTTAGACTTTTTTTTTTTTCAAATTTGCTATAGAGTATGTGAACTCTATTGTCTCTCTGAAACAGAGAGAGAGAGAGAGTGGGAAAGCAAGAAAGACAGAGAGAAAGCAAGAAAGCATCCCCTAGGGAGTATGACCACACCACAGTCCCTTTTCCTCCATTCTCCCCTCTGGATTTTCAGCACACACACACCCCTAGCGTGTTATTTAAGCCACTGGGTCCAGGACTCAAACTACACAGTTGGTCATGTAGGATCTAGCCACCTTTAATCACCATGCCACCTAGTAGGCCCTATTTTAGATTTTTAATAGCTTTATTGATAAATAAATTGCATACTAGAAAGTCCACCAGTTTGAGGTGTATCGTTCTTTCTTTTTTTCCTTTTTTTTTTTTTTTTTTTCAATGAACAAGGAGGAAAAGATAGATAGGTACTTCCTTCCATTCCCAGCCTGCTTGGATTGGTCTGGGAGCCAAATCTGGGCCTCTGTGGTCCCAACCTTGAGCAGTGGCAACCTACTATTTCTGCCACCCCAGCTGGGACCTAAAGTGTACCTCTCAGTGTGTTTAGCATAGTTATAGTGCTGTGCAATTTTCAACATAATCTAATTTTAGGACGTTTTTATCATCTTACAAAGAAACTTTAGACCCATTCACCATCACTCTCTATTTCTCTTTCTCTCATCCCTACGCAACCACTAATCTTTCTTAATAAATTTGCTTATACTGGATATTTCATGTATGAATTTTGGATCTTTCATATAAGTAGATTCATACAGTATGTGACCTCTGTGTCTGGTTTCTTTCATTAGCTTTCTAGGAAACATCATGTTGTAGCATGTATCAGTACCTCATTCCTTAAGAGCAAGAAGTATTCAATTGCTTGGATATATTTTTCTTACCTGCTTATCAGTTGACAGGCATTTAGGTTGATTCCACCTTTTTGCTATTGCTACTAATGCTGCTTTGAACATTGGTACACAACTTTTTGTGGCTGTGTTTCTATTTCTCTTCAATGTAGAATTGTTGGATTATATGGTTACTCTGTGTTTAATATTTTG